TGAAATCACACCTACAGTCTATGGCAGCACAAGATGCCCTTCTGTCTGAACACTCTCAGGGAAGATCCATTAAATAGACTGGTCTAAAAGCCTTTTCTGGGCTCTATACTTTATGAAGGTGAGCTGATCTGGGTGCTGGTTGTCCACCTTGCTACTGTCACATAACCATGAACATTTAAACAGCGAATAGACAAATGACCACCCAGACATCTGCCCAGCTTTAGGACTTGCAGTATGTTCGTGGGTATTAGGCTTGTGTCAAACGCCAAATAAAGCTTGCTGTTGCCGTCAGTTGGAGACACTTCTGAGTTCATTCACAGTTCATCGATAGTTGCATTGAAGCTGCACCTGACCTCTTAAATTGCATCAACCGGCTTCTAATCGCTTCTGCATTCACATTGACTTGTATGGAGAGAGAAGCAGTACCGACTTGAACAGAAGCCTTTAACCACTAGCCTACTGGGCACTTATACCCCCTTCCTGCCCAGGCCAATTTTCAGCTTTCAGTGCTGTCGCACTTTGAATGACAATTGCGCGGTCATACAACACTGTACCCATATGACATTTTTATCATTTTTTTGAGACATATAGAGCTTTCTATTGGTGGTATTTAATCACCTCTGGGTTTTTTATTTTTTGCTAAACAAACCAAAAACTGAAATTTTTTTTTTTAAAAAAGTTTTAGTTTTTGTTTCAAAATTTTGTAAATAAGCGATTTCTCTCTTTCAATGATGTGCGCTAATGAGGCTGCAGTGATGAGCACGGATAGGCTGCACTGATGGACACTGATAGGTGGCACTGATGGGCATTGACAGGCATCACTGATGGGCACTGAAAGGCAGCACTCATATATAAAAAGAAATAAGTGAGCGCTTTTTTAAAAATTCAAGCAGCTAGGCACACAGGATAACCAACAAAAATCCTCACAAGAAGTTATATATAAAAGTGCAGCGCTAAAACTATATAAAGTTGTCATACATATATAAGAAACACAATAGTTAAATGTGAATAAAAAATAGTCGAAAAGGTGACTTGGAGTAAAATTGCACACTAACCAGATGTGCACATTAAAAGTGCAATGTAGAGATCATAGGCTCATGGGGTAATCATCAGAGTAGAAATGGTGTTCCCTTGGTCAGAGAAGATCCCCGAGTGGTGCAGAGCTGGGCAGGAAGAAAACCTCTTGATAACCGGGAATGCACAGCACAGATGTGCTTGGCACGTAACGCGTAAGGAAGCCTACGCACGCCGTGACGTCCACGCCGTCGGAGCATCGTGGAGCTCTGGGGAACATCTGACAGGACGGTTAGTCCTGTCTGTGCTTGTTGGGTTTTAAGGATGCATCCCCTCTGCTACTGTCATTGCATACTACAATTTATTGTTTATGCAATACTTCACTATGGGCATCTTTTCTTGACCCCCCACGCGGGGAGCAACCTTTTCCCAGATACGTAAAACAAAGTGGAGGAGTCGTGTTTCTACTGGTGGATCAACGTTCCTTCTGTTCCCGTATCAAGAGGTTTTCTTCCTGCCCAGCTCTGCACCACTCGGGGATCTTCTCTGACCAAGGGAACACCATTTCTACTCTGATGATTACCCCATGAGCCTTAAGATCTCCATTCACTTTTAATGTGCACATCTGGTTAGTGTGCCAAGTCACCTTTTCTGGGACTATTTTTTATTCACATTTAACTATTGTGTTTCTTATATATGTATGACAACTTTATATAGTTTTAGCGCTGCACTTTTATATATAGCACTCATATATGGCACTGATAGGCGGCACTGACGGGAGCTACTAATTGTCCACTTGTCCCCCGTTTATAGATCCTGTGTCATTCATGAAAGCTGTAGTATGGTTTATACGAATGGCAAAGTTGAGCAAAAAGGCCAGGAATAGTCAGGCTCTCTTGGGTAAGAGGCTGTGACACACACCATGAGAATATCGGACAAACTATTGCCTGCTTTTTTTTTCACCTGCTAGCCTCACATCGAAAGTAACAAGGTTATAAAGATACAAAGATTCTCGTATGAAAGAAAAGAACTTCGAAAGTGATGTCATGTATTGTACTTTTTTTTTGAAACGACTACTGTACTGAATAAACGAAAATCGTACAATCTGGTTTCGTACGAGAAAAATTTTCACGCTTGGCCCTTCGGATATTGTTGCATGAATTGTTGTGATCAGCTCTCGAAACCTGTGTATGAACGATCCAATTATCGGATTGGTCCTCGTACAAAAATTTTCGGACGATTTTCTTATAGTGTGTACGGGGCAACCCTCTCCTTCACTGGAAGATTACGGCAGCAAGGGAAGAGAAGGGGGGGGCGGGGGGAGAGGTGATCAGGACAGAGGAAGATTTCTACTATCAGCAAAGGAATCACAAGGGCCACATGGCTATAAATAATGTTCCTTGTCCAGATTTTTCTGTTCTTGGTTTTGGCTGCACTTAGGCTTTAATGCTACAAATCTCATTTGGCTCAATATCAGCCTCTAATAGAGTTGCAGTCAGCCTGGGAAAAGAAAGAGAAGTACAAGAAAAGAATCAGGGGAACTGCATGCCAATGGGCTGACAAGGAACAAGTTGATAGAAGTGGAGAACCGTGTGAATAGAAGGATGACCTCATCATAATGCTTCTTCATGGTCCAATGGGGTGAGTGGAGTCAGTAGTGTATTTACTGGGAGCAGAGAAAGTGGCGTGATCCTTCTGGCTGTACTGTTTGTTGGGGCTGTGTAAATCTCTGGACTGACTGGACAGAAATACCCTAAAGACACTTTCATATTTCAATTATGTGTATATATCGGTCTGAAGTTCAGCTTTAAAAAGTGAAAGTAATCCTGCCAGAAATTTTGTGAGCTGATAATTTGCTGTGCTCTCTTCCTGTGCCGCACGGTTATCAGTTACATTGTTCCCAGGTATCTTTCTGGACTACACAACACCTCTTCCTATGTTATGAAAAAGGGTGGGGGGGGGTCAGGGTGACAACACAGCTCCATCATAAATACAGTGCACTCAGAGTTGTCACCCTAGGGCAGGAACTGAGCTACTGGCAGGATCACTTGGTGAGCTGCAATAGAAATACATTTTTGCTCTTTCGGTTTAGATATTCTCAGGAAACCGATGCAAACCTTTCTGTGTTTCATCTTGAATCTAACTCTAAGTGAGAGGGTTTGCCCAGTGCTATAAGAGTATGAGCAGCTAGGCATTGTTAAGATTTAAGAAAAATTTGAAAGCATCTCACCAGCTTTTATGGCAGGGGTGCCCATAATTTGAAGTTAGGTGCAGAAAAGATATAGCAAGCCAATCCCACAGCAGGAAATTTGTTTTCCCAGAAGTGTTCTATACACAGACAGACAGCCCCCAGGCTAACTTTCTGGAAGTTTTGATATCATCAGAGAGACTGCAGACTGAAACATGAACTGACAAAATGGCTCAATAGCCATTATGTATTAATACTTTTCTTCTTATAGAAGTGGAGTTTTCCTTTAACACATTCCACAGGGACTCCGAGGACGTCGTCAGAAGAAGAGTTTGCCTGATTTCTCCTGCAGTCAATCTTTTTGTATATCTTAGACCCCTTTGAACTCCCTGGAAGTGAAGGAACAGACTGTCCTCCTTTTTTCAAATCTTTGGTACCTTCAATATATTGAGGAACTTGCTTTAAGGCATCTAGGGAACTAAAGGGATCCTTCTCCCCATTTTAGGATTTTAATGGCAAGAAGAGAGGACAATCTCCTACGCCTTGTGGAATATTCACAATACAGAAGGAAGAAATTAGCAAACTGGACAATAATTCCGCCATCCAAACCGCCAATCAAAGAATTCTTTAAAGAGAAACTATGATATTCCAATCTTTAAAAAGGTTATTAATTTATAAACTATTTTATACTGTACAATCTTTTACATACTTTTTACGTAAAATAATAGTTTTCCAAATAAGATTGAATACATAATGAACTCACGGCCTACAAAGCAAGCCGGACATGGCGGACGAAGGGATTTGTACACATGCTGCAGCAAATTTACTTGGCTTGTCAAATGTTGCAGCTGCCCCTTTGAGTTTGGAGGGGAAAAAATGCATTCAGAAGGTAACAAGATCACCTACTGAATGCCTGGAAGTGGTTGTTCTACCTTCCTGCGAAAAGCAATCCACCACAGATTGCTTTTCAGAGCGCTGTAAAGACTACCATCTGTGTGAAAGGGGCCTGAGATAACTGAAGTGCATGGAAGGCAAAAGGTTGGTGTTGGTTGGGCAGAGTCACTACCCTGCCTCATTCATTTGTGTTAGTAATTTATGTTTGAGTTACTGAGCTCCGTAAATTAGGAGGAGAGGTCATCTGGTGAATTGATAAACACTTGCTTTTTTTTTTTTTTTTTTTTTTAGGTTTTTCCAGCTCTTACGCTGGTCATAGATGGAGCAATTTTCTTTCCTGTACACAGGTTGTAGGAAAGAAAAATCGCTCGATTCCCCCATCAACACAGTCAACATTGATGGGGGGATCCCTCCTGTATAGTCATTGTGTTCCCCCAGCAGGGGGGCGGGGGAGCCTTCCCTGCCAGGAGAGCACAATGATTACTGCTAGCGTCTATAATAGCAACTAGCAATAATCGCATGTAAAATTGAACAGGCTGGTTGAACCCAAGTTAGTTGATCGATCAGCTTGGATATATTCAGCCTGACCATACATTGTTTAAATTTCCTGCTGAACCAGCCAAGATTTGAATCATCAATAGCCGGCTTTAGAGGCTGTCTTAGCGAAAAGACCTTTTGTCAAAGGCTTTGTGTCAAAGAATGAGGTTGCAAGGCTTAGACTGTGATCTTCAGAAAAGATCTACATGGATAGTTAAGATTCATTGTGTTGCCACCATTGCCTCAGAATAATAGCAGTTTCTTGGTTCAAAACACAAGTCACAATGATAAGACTTAAGGTAAAATTGTAAGTAAAAACAGTTTTAGGCTTTGCCCATATATCATAATAAAATGGTGCCATACGTACCACATCGGGCTCCTGGGGAGATCCTTTCATGAACAGCATACATGGGGCCACATTGATTAGCTTCTTAAGCCTGACGTTGAGGTCCTCTTTGGGAGTGCTGTTGGGGGTAGCGGGAAAAGCAGTGTTTGATGCATGGCGCTGGACTCTCTTGGTCAGCTCAGGTGCATGAGCCCCATCTAGCCTGTCAATCTTCTGAGAACTCTGAGACACAAGATAGATCATGCCGAGAAGTTAGAGGTTATGGAACGTCAGAACATCAAACAAACACAGCCAAGCAATGTATTACTCCTGGGCACTACATGGTACAAAATAATCTGATAGCAGCTTCTCACAAACATGACATGAACAGCACGGCAAAAATCTCCTACACTAATACAATGCGGCTTAATACAGGATATTATTATTACAATCAGTAGTCACAAATAAGAATGGTTGACCATTTCCATTTAAAGGGGGCCTCACACTATGATTAATCAGGATTTGTAAATAAGATCTCATTTCTAATGACACTCTGTGGTCCATGTATTCCTTGAATTTCTGGGGCAGATTGTATTCTGGAGTTACCATATTTAATTATCCTCAAAGTGCAAAGAAAGAGCTTTGTTCCATATCACCCTTACTGACTTTTGCTAGACTTCAGACACACTTCTATGTTCTGCAGTGGAAGGACATTGCAGATAACACAGATCCAATGACCAATAAACCAGGGACTGTGCTGTAACTAGGCTGTGTTTTATCAGGTTGTCTCCGATGCAGAAGCAAAAAATCAGCATTGCACAAGCAGGGCTCTTTACACCAAAATGTTACGTTAATGCACCAGGTACAGTTTTACACTTTCAGCCACTTTACAACCCTGAAAAGGAAAGATAGATTACTGTAAGACAAATCATTCATTTCACTGAGGAGAACAAACCCTAAGCAGGTGTGACAAATACTCTGGTAGAAAAGTCAGCAATGCCGTTCATAGGAGACATACAGTAAGTGAGATGATGGTGAATAAAAACACCAACATACACAAAGTACAAGGATAGGAATAATTTTTTAACCAGTTCATGCCAAGCTCACCAATATCTGTGGCCTTCGTCAGTGGAGCTGTTTGTATGCACTCGGGGTTTGTGCTGAAAGCACGCTCTATAATCACACTCTCAGCAAAGAGACTGAACTGTCACTAACAGCATCGGCTCTCCCTATAATGATTAGGATCCTGCAGAGCATTGCACCTGCGATCAGCAGAGTGCAGTGTCAGGCTCCTGCAGACACTGCCTACAGCTTTCAGCCCCTGAATGACTATAAGTCAGCACACAAAAAAACAATTAACACACAGAACCCCTTAAAGTCGTATTATTATCCTTCCCCTGAAGTACCAATATACAATATATCAACCGACTTGAGTTTGTTTAAGTCGGTTGATATATTGTAGCTTTCAGCCCCTACCTCTGTATGGGCTGTTTGAGCCTACGTTGACACATATGCGGTGCAGGAAATGCAGTGAATCCTGTGCGTTTTCCACACTGGATCACAATCGCACTGTCTTCTGCTGCAGGTGTCAACTGAAAGTTAACAACACCCCAAAAGCACATAGCAAACGCAGTGCACGTTCACCTGAACTGGACAACATGGAAGTGCTTTTTGGTGTGGATGCAGTGCTATTCGAGCCATTCACCCTAGGTTCACACATATGTGATGCAGGAAACACAGAATCCTGTGTGTGTTCTGCAACACATCGGGAAAGATATAAAAAGCATTGACACTGTACTGACACTGGGCAGGAGGGGGTTAACATCTGCGGCGCACAAAGGGTTAACTGTGTGCGTTTTGCTGTATGTTGTTTTTTTTTACTAGGGAGGTATGCTGTTTTGTATCTTTCTGCTGTGCAGGGATACAAAACAGCATGCCCATGCTGACAGGAGAGAGACCGGTGTTGTTTACACACCGGTCTCTCCCATCAGCTTTACCCGATGATCACTGAGTGCCGGCCTGGCAACTGACATCCCTAGCTGCCAATAGTGGCGTGGGTAGGGCGGCACGCGCGCCCCCTACCCGAAAATGCAAATCACAAATATATACACATGATTTTGCGCAGCCCTGCCTTCCTATAGCAGTACTTCTGCTATAGGGTGTCCTGAAATCGGACAAGTAAAAAAAAGTTGTTTTTTTGTTCAAATTAAAATGTTCCTGTTTATCCCTTTGTTAACCATTAGTTTACTCTAATCAGCCCTAATTAATGCATTCTTCTTCTCTCTGCGATTGGCTGTGGGTAACAATTGAAAGTTTACTACACACCAAATGCAGGTTACAAACGCAGTGCGTCTGCATGGACCGGACTGAATGGGTATAAACAACCATATGATCTGGTTCCAGTGCTGCTATACAAAAAAAAAAAAAAAAAAAAAAAAAAAGTGACTGCAACTTTTTGGTGGGGATGCATTGTGATCTGAGCCCTTTCAAAATGAACAGGCACAAATCGCAACACACAGAATCGCATGTGAGTTGCACAGGAATGCGATGCAATTCCCTGCACGATTCACCTGCGGTTCACAAGGTGAACCTAGGCCCAAATCGCACTGCACATGTGAAATGAACAGGAGTGTGGTGCAATTCCTCTGTGATTCAAAGTGTGAACCAAGAATGAAAGCAGCAGGAAGTGTCAATGAACTACAAAAGCGCTCACCAGCACCCTCAAACTTCACTGGAAACTACAAGCTGCCTGTGCCCGGTCTTTACATTGTGACAGTGGGCGCGGGGAGAGGATCACCTGCCTGCTGTCACGAGGGAAGGGAATCGAGGAATGCAGGGAGAGGTGCACAGTAACATGGTAAACCCTAGATATGGGTGTACCATGTAATATGTTACTAAAAGTGAACTTAGCCTTTAAAAAAAAGTTTTTTTGCTTATTTTGCATCAGCACTAAATATTATACAAATTCAGTATACCACATTGGTCGCAAACATCAGGAGTAGGAATCTATTTCAGATCTTTTAATAGTAGGTCATGGTAAAAGTCTACCTAAATTTAAAAAAAAATATTTTTTTTTTTCTTTACTATTTTGGGTCAGTTTTCCTGAAAACATGAGATAGCAGTTAGTCCTGATAAAAAGCAAGGTATAATTTTTGCCTCAATATACTAAGTAATTCCAATGATAAGTCCAGTTTTACTAACATGTGTCACAGTAAAACTGGGTTTAGGTTAGTATTTAAAACAAATACTATTAGTATTAGTATCTAAACTTAAAAAGACAAAACTATCCACGTAAATTCTGCAACATCTCTTCCTGTAAAAACCACATCATTCTGGAGGCACCGTCTGTGCTGGACCTTTGTAGAATCATTCCTCCTCATTAGCACCTATTATCAAATAACCTATAGCTACAAACACATATTGTACGGGGCTTAAAACTCCTATTTTCTTCTAGCACAATTTTATTATGTATACACACACATACACACATACACACACACACATACACACATACATATACACACACACACACACACACACACACACACATATATACACACACACATACATATACACACACACACACATATACACACACACACACACACACACACATATATTACACACACACACATACATATACAGTTGCAAGAAAAAGTATGTGAACCCCTTGGGATTATGTGGAGTTTTGCATGATTTGGGCATAAAATGTGCTCTGAACGTCATCTAAGTCACAACAATAGAAGAACACAGTCTGCTGAACATAACACTACACAAACATTAGATGTTGCCATGGTTTAATTGCACTTAACATGTAAACATTCACAGTGCAGGGAGGAAAAAGTATGTGAGGCCCTAGCTTAATGACTTCTCCCAGAGCTAATTGGAGCCAGGAGTGAGCCAACCTTGACTCCAATCAGTGTGATGATATTGGATGTGTTGCTGACAGCTGTCCTGCCCTTAAAAAAAACACACACCTGTTTTGGGTTTACTGGTTTCAAGAAGCACTGTCTGATGGGAACCATGCCTCGTAGAAAAGAGCTCTCAGAAGACCTACGATCAAGAATTGTTGACTTGCATGAAGCTGGAAAGGGTTACAAAAGTATCTCCAAAAGCCTTGATGTTCATGTGTCCACGGTAAGACAGACTGTCTACAAATGGAGAAAGTTTAGCACTGTTGCTACTCTCCCTAGGCGTGGTCATCCTGTAAAAATGACTGCAAGAGCACAGCGCAGAATGCTGCATGAGGTAAAGAAGAATCCCAGAGTGTCAGCTAAAGACCTACAGAAATCTCTGGCACATGCTAACATTTTTGTTGACACATCTACAATAAGGAAAACATTAAACAAGAATGGAGTACATGGGAGGACACCACGGAGGAAGCCATTGCTGTCCAAAAAGAATATTGCAGCACGTTTGAAGTTTGCAAAAGAGCACCTGGATGTTCCACAGCACTACTGGCAAAATATACTGTGGACAGATGAAACCAAGATTGAGTTGTTTGGGAAGAACACACAACACTATGTGTGGAGAAAAAAAGGCACAGCACACCAACATCAAAACCTCATCCCCACTGTAAAACATGGCGGAGGGAGCATTATGGTTTGGGGCTGCTTTGCTGCCTCAGGGCCTGGACGGATTGTTGTCATTGATGGGAAAATGAATTCCAGTGTTTATCAAGACATTTTGCAGGAAAACGTACGACCATCTGTCCGCCAACTGAAGCTCCGCAGAGGATGGGTGATGCAACAGGACAATGACCCAAAGCATACAAGTAATTCAACAAAACAATGGCTGCAATAGCACAGAATACGCCTTCTGGAGTGGCCCAGTCAGAGTCCTGGCTTCAACCTGATTGAAATGCTGTGGCATGACCTTAAGAGAGCGATTCACACCAGACATCCCAAGAATATTGCTACTGTCAGGGATCTCCTCGATCCCCGCCGCAGGCGCACTGCTCCACCCAGTACACGGGCACTAGGTCCGGGCCGGCCGCGGCGTTCGAGTTCTCGCATGCGCAGTAGAAGCCGCGGTCGCCCGCTGGGCACCAATGGCAGCGCAGGGCGGGATATTTAAAGGTCCCTGAGCTGTCATTTCGTTGCCTTCTGGTCTTACCTGCTTCCTGTGTTCCTGTACCTGTGCCTAGTAAGTTATTGACCCGGATTACTCTTGACCTTGCTGATTTCTCCTGCCCAGACCCTTGCTTGCCTGACCTCTCTCCCTGGATGCCCCTTATTAGATCT